ACGCTTCCCTCTCCTTAGTTGTTCCTCAGACTGTTTTAAAGGATGATACCTGAGGCGTGTTTTTGTTCTAGATTTCTCCCTCCAGTTTCGGCTGCTCTCGCTCAATTAGAACTGAAAACGGTTTTGAAAACGCTTCAGAAATGCTCGTTCTTTAGCATAAAAGGCAAACTAAGCGCTGATCTTTCCCACCCGGAGCAACATGGCAAGCTGTCATACTTTAGTCACTCACAATAATTCGTCTCTTTGAGTTTGAGATTATCGGCAAAGGCCGGAGCATCACTGGCAACATTAGGGGAAGCGCCTCTCTCCTGTAATGCTGTGATGTAGAAAGTATTATTTACATACTACTATCCTGTGGTTTAAAGGATAACCACAAGATAGCAGGTAAAGGTAAAATCCTATGAAGATCACGGTTCATGCTTCAGATGAAAGCAATTATTGATAGAAATTGTGAGAGCTTTTTGATTTTGACAAACAGACGGAGCCCTGTCAATACAAACTCACGCAACCAGTGACTCTGCCCCCTAGCCAATCAGTGACCAATCGTCTTCTGACTTGTGCTGTTTTCAGCCCATCACTAAAGGCAAACTCTTCCACCAAGCGAAGCCGAGTCGCGTTAAGGCGACTCGATGCTGGTGGTAAAGGCTGTTTGATGATTGTTCTGACTCCGACTTTAGACCTCCTGCATCCGATACGTGATCAGAACCGAAGAGGCCTTTGGCAAAAGATGGGAACCATCTAACCATCACCTGTAGAGGACCAAAATTTGAGGGCATTGGCATTGGTACAAAGAGACTCTAGGGGTCTGTTCTCAAGTGAAGAAGTCCAGCTGCCTTTTACCGAAGCTCTTAGAATAAAAGGAAATCATTAAAGAAAGATTTTTGACCAAATTATTAAAGTTCTGTCTGAAGATGCATCCTCTGTCTACGATACCTTCTTGGCTAAAACATCTGTCTACAGTAGACATGGATGCTCTCCTTTAAAAACTCCAAATGACTTCGGTGACACCCTCATTGTCCTTATCTACCCAAAGCACCATCAGGTCAATAGCCTTTCATCTGGAAAGAAACAAAGAACTGTTCTGGCCATGGAGTTGTCCATCAGAGCAGAGGAAGAGCGAGGGGAGAGGAGAGCGACTCTTTCATCCTCTGGCTTCAAACGCCGCACTGAAAATGGAGTTTTAGCCGCTGCGGTGCTAACGCAGCGGACAGGCCTCGGCGCACAGACGACTCGCACCCTGCGGTGCCGGCGGGGTGGGGGTGGGGCGCGCAGAACCACCGCGCGCGCTCAAATGAGACAAAGATGGGCGCGAGTACGAACAAATCACACACTTTGTTCTCACGCGCACGCATCATAAAGGCAGGAACTAAGCCAGCGGAAGCTCCTAGCATAATGACTGGCGCTGAAAGAGACGGGCGGCTGCAGAGCAGAACATCTCCCTGAAAACCCTTTTATGCAACGGCTCTTTATAGGCTGCTAAACTGGAATCACAAAGGGAGCCAAAGGGAAGGATGAGGTTAACTCTGAGTCATTGCTCTTTGCCGACTGCCCTCTAAAAGTCTGACGCTGTGCTTACCTTGAAACAGATATCCTGAGAACACCTACATAAACTCTCATCTGTGGCGCGCTGACGAATGGAACGGCGGCTGAAGATAAATGGCACAACCTCAGCGTGGAGCAATTAAACCTCTTTCTATCCCCACATCACTCACCTCCTCCCGCAGCCTCTCCTCGTCTCTCTGGGGTGTGGGGTGGCTTCACTTTGTTTGTTTTAATTATTTTTCCATATGCAAATGTGCCTCTCCTTCATAAATGAGCTCTCTGCGTCTGTCCCGGTGATGTTCGGAGAGAGAGAAGGGGGCTGGTGGGGGAAACGGAGAGCGGTGGTTATCGATTCCCAGGGAAGCGTCTTTGGAGAAGTCATCAGGCGGCGGAGGCAAGGTGATCAATCGTTCACGTACATTACGCCTCCGCCTCCTCCTTCCATGTAGGAGCAGCATGAGAAGTGTTAACGCCGCCTCGACACATCAATCACACGCCGTCAGACAGCCAGGGCCAACAGGAACACACGCATATATAGAAATACATGTGCGTATATGTATATATAGTCCTCAGACTATTTCACAACGTTCATGAATGGTGGCCGTTTTTGTCTTTTTAACTGCAGTTGGGTCATGACCTTTGGCCCTGCCCGTTTTAGGGACGGATCACCACCCATCCACGGGGAAAAACTCTTATGGGGCCCAAATATGCCAGCTGCCATTAATATAGGTAAGTTACCATATTGGTGGTCAGAAGTTAACCTCAATCCGTCACTGAGCTGATTGGTTGATTAAAAATCTATTTTCCAAAGACTTATTGATTTTCACTTCAGGAGTTGATGTTCTAAAAACTTACTTTATTGAAATCATGTTCCGTCTTCATCTCTGCTTTGCATTGTCAACAGGTTGTGTGTAAACACAGATCAATTGGTTGTAATTGACACTAAAGCAAATCTTAATTAGCTTCAAATTTAACTTAATACATTAAAGTCTTAACATGTTGACAAATAACAATAACTGTGTTATCTCTAATAACTATGTATTTGTTTTTTTCTTATTGTAAATTTGCTTTAACAGTACCGTTGCCTATGTTTTGCTTTTTAGCTGCTTTGGAGAAAAATGTCAAGTGCAGTTTTTTTTTTTTATTTCTGTCTGAAATGCAAACAATAACTGGACTTTCAATGAAACCGTCAATCTGGCAGGTGAGAACAGAATCGGGCTTCTTCCGTTGCAGCAGCAATTTGGTTCGTTTTAATGTTCCTTCGAGGCAGAAACCGAGAGGGGGGCTGCAGGGGGATCTATCCAAACAAACAAAGATGGGGACGGAAAGCGAGAGGGAGACGTGAAGATCTGGAGGGGAGGGAGAAGACGGGAGGGCGAGTCTGGCTGTGCGCTCAAAGACAAGAGAACAAACCCCTCAAAGTCATTCAGCTAATCCATCTCGACAACACTGAAGCCTCATCATATCCACGCCTCCCTAAGCTGCACACGTTTACTCCTTCCTGACAGCTCCCCTCTTCCTCCGCCTCTTCCTCCTCCAGAGGAAGGAGAGCAAAACGAGGAAGAGGAGCGGGAAGGTCAGGAGCAGCCGACGCCAACCCGGTCCGGCGTCACTGAACCCGAGAACGACACGAAACTGAGCGTAGCACTGCTCAACATGTTTTTACTCAATGAAAAGCAAAAAGAGGTAATCAGTTACTTCACAAAATAAGTAACTGATGAAAATCATTTATCATTTCAAAGTTATGGCATCAGATGAACCAAAAGGTAAAGTTAAATAAAATTTTAAGGACCAAAATGACAATAATTCATGTAAACATGTTTGTTCTTCAATCAAGAGAATCCAGAGATTGAGCAATACGCCATGATAAATTACTCAAGCAAAATGTAAAGGCTCCAAAACTCCTACTTTTTTTCTCAAATAGTTACTCAAGTAAACGTAATTTAGTAAATGTGACTCGTTGCTGCCCGATTCATCTGGACGACGTGCAGACGGAGCCCCGGCGGCCGACCGGCCAGCAGAAAGCCGGACCGGCGCTGCCGAGATCAGACCCGGTGGGTCTGCAGGCTGGAGCGCGTTCGGTCCCTCATGTGAATGTTCCACATCGGTCGTCGACGGAGTCGGTTTTCCTTCTCCGAAAGCGCAGCGGACTGTGATGCTGTGTGGCCCCTGGCAGCTTTCACATGCTCTGCCCTCAGGACCCATGGCATTAGTAAAGATTACCACACTGCACTTGGCAGGAAAGTGTGTTTTGTTGCGAGAGTGTGTGTATGCCGAGACGTGCATGTCAATGAACCCCTGTGTGAATTTTCTGCCCCTGTCTATGTGTGTGAGTGTGTGTGTGTCCCCTCTGGACAGCTGGCGTGCCAAAGCCTGTTGAGCTGTTTGTCACACTCGCCTCAGTTGGAGGAGCTGGAGTGGCGTGTAGTGGACCTTTCACGGCTGGAGACGCCGCCGCTGCAACAGAAACCCGCAGAAGCCGAGCAGATGAGTTTCTCACTTATTACCAGCGGAACTTTTGAGAAATTATCAGAGATGTGCAGCGAATCTGATTCATCATACGGCTTTCATTTTGGAGCCCAACGACCACAAAAACAACAGAATATGAAAGAACAAAATAAAATAAAATAAAATAATGTTTTACACTATTTTGTTGGTTTCCAAGTGGATGGCTTCTTAATCCGGGCAAATGTCAGATTTCAAGGCGTCATTTTTCAGCTACAATTTATCTTTAATGAATTTAAATCATCACTGTATGAACTAAAGACCAAAATAATAACATTTCCTCCATGACAGAAGAGAACCAAGTCCTGTTTGGCAATTTAAAACAAAGAAAACATAGAATTGGAGCTTAAAACGCCTTAGAAATGAATGCTGACTACAGCACCCCTAGTGGTGATTGAGAGATACAGCAATGTAAAGTTTTGTTTTGCAAATATTTAAGCAGAAGGTTTAAAACAATAACAGGAAAATAAACACATTGAACTTCAACTTGCCACCGATCACACAAAAGCTAGCTGGCTGGCTTTACAACACAGCCACCTCGTGCAGAAACTGAGAATAGCCGTGTTATTATTGTACAAATAATAATAAATACATTTTAAAAAATCCAATTTATCTCAATTGATTTACTAAGTTTTCAAGCATCTTGATATTACAAAAAGCATGAATTCTATTTTTAGAAGCCCTGATTGCTGCTCATTTCCACCCACCATCCCTACAAAGCTAACGTCACCTGGTTACCGGAAGTTAGACGCGGGACTTTCACAATAACAGCGCCACAACGGAAGTGTTACGTTCACGCTGACGTTTGACTTCGAGAGCTCCGACATTAATCGATATTGCTCTAAATTCCCTCACGTAAATGATAAAAGAGTTGAGACTCTTTCCTCCAAGGCTCTTATCGACTCGCAATGCCGTACATTTTTTTCTCTTTTCTAATTAAAACGGTGTCTTACCTTTATTTTTGCGTCGTCCAGGCACCTATCCTTCTCCACAAATGTCCGTAATTTTGTTGGAAAGAAAATTAAAAATGTCGTTTCTCGTTTTTCTTTCATTTTCAAGAATCTGGACGCCAAAAAAAAAAAAAAAAAAAAAAACAGCAGCAGTTCTGTTCCGTGTTTTTGAGTAGAAGAAGCGCACCTGTTGGTCGTTGTGTCCATTGGGGCTCAGCACTGCCCCCCATCAGCGAGGCGCGGTACTGCACCACCTCGCTACTGGTCGTCTTTCGTGGATTTCAACAGCAATGTGTAGATTCAGCGATTTTGACCATAAAATCATTGAAATGAAGAAATAAGAAAAACCATTAATAGACAATCCAAGTGGAAAAATAGATTTTTCCCCATCGTTTACCACCTGACTTCCCTGAACGCACATCGCTGGTCAATAATTATTAATAAACATTGATCTCTCATTAACTTTGAAAATGAATTCTGGTCGAACATTTCTTGTGTCTACGGAAAACCAAAATGGGTTGTGACTTTTTTTTCTTTCTCTTTCACTTCATCCGACGTCCATGAAAGTCGTCGCTGATGTCAATCTGCCTTCAGACCACCAAAATTCCTCCGCCGCTAATTACAAGCCAGTCGGGGCAGCAATATTTACCTCTCGAATGTCACTGCTGTCGTTTGCTACAATGTAGCAAAACTGGCATTTCACTACTTTGTGTGGCAAAACGTTCTGTTTGTGGCTGGGATGGAGGGCCGCTTCCTGGAGGAAGTCGGGCGGAAGAGGAAACGGTGGCGTCGTCGCAGCCTTCAACTGTAAATCCTCACCATTTCATGGCTGTCAGTAAAACTGCCGCCAAGAAGACAGACCCCCGGGGGAGCGGCGGCGGCGGGGGGCACGGGGGGGTTAGGTGAGCCTGAAGGACGAGCTGTCCCTCACACACACTCTTGCTCTTTTTTTTTTTTTTTTCCCACCACCAGTTCCTTTCACTCTGTCTTTCTGTCGATGTCACACACTCTTTCGCTCCCCCGTCTCGACGCACCCTGCCTCTCTTCACACTCGCTTCGTCTCATCACTTTTACTGCTTTTTGCTCTTTTTTTCCTCCCCCCTCTCTCTCTCTTTTTCGCAGACATCACATGCTCCCGCTCCCAGGGAGGGAGACCTCCCTCCCACCACCCCCCAAGATGTCCTCGAGTCCGGAGGCGAGTACCAATCCCAGGGAACCTTACCGAGGGACCGCGGGGGTCGTGACCCCCGGGCCCAGAGTCCCAGTCTTCATTTCCTCTCGTTTCAGGAAGCAGGAGCGAGAACGTTTCTTGGGAGAAACAGAAGAAGAAGAAAAAAAATCACCATAGGATCACACAAATCAAGGACAACTGAGTTAAAGTGTGTGTGTGTGAGAGATAAAAAGCATTAAAGGTGTTTTGGTAGATGAGTGTGTGACCCATAAAGCTATAAAGAGGGCAGTGGGGTCTGTTCCTCAGGCTCTTTCCATCAGAGTGCTCCATCCCTCCCTCCTCTGTTTACATTAATAAGGAATATTTGAACATTTTCTCTAAAAAAAATATATATATATATTGTCTCAGTTTGAACTACTCAAAAGTTAAAAAAGAAATTCAAAGCTTCTTAAACCTGATTAAAAGAGAAAGTAAAGTTTTACGAAGCAGTTTAAGTAAACTTAAACAAAAATGTCGAGCAAATTCCTGATTTTTTTTTTTGCCAACTTGATCATAAATGATAAGCTATAATTCATTTGAGAGCATTTCCAGAGTTTATTTGAACAGTTAAGCCGTTGCGAAACGTTCCTGCGTGCAGCGCAAAGTTTCTGGGTCAAAGCTGCTCTAATTAGCCTCTTCCTCTGTTTCCCCTCCTCTTCACTCCGTAATGCTGGCACACCTCTGGCCCGCTTCCTCCTGTTTTCCTCTCCACTGCGAGGACGAGCCATCACCATTCGAGACACATACCCAGCCCCGGCCCGGAGTGACAGCACACACACACACACACACACACACAAACGCGCGCGCTTCCAGAGCCATGATCCGTCCACGCACGCACGCACGCGTGCTCTCCATCCGTCACATTTACATTTCAAACTGCCTGCTCTTCCACCAACACATCCATTATTTACCAGCCTCTGGCCAAAGAGAACACCATATTCACACTCCCCAGGTAGGGAGAGTGTGTGTGTGTGTGTGTGTGCGTGTTGCATGAGTGTGTGCAGCAGGTACGGCAGGCTGCTGCTTCCCCCAGCAGCCTCCAATTACATTTCCCGACTTCATGAACTTGATTTTATTTTCCTCTTCCTGTTCTCATTCCACTTCCCTCCTCCGTCTCGCTCCTCTTCCCGCATTTGGTCGCTTTTAAATTCGACGGGGGCCCGCTTGGCGCCGAGCCGCGAGTCCAGAACGCTCAACGTCGCCCGAATCTGACGAAAAAAAAATGACAACTCTCCACTGATTCTTGTTCACTTTTTATTGCAGAGAGGAAAAAGGTGAGGAGTGAGACGCTGCGCCTTCTGTGTGTTGGTGCAAGTTTTGGCGTTAGAAGTCATCGTCATCTCCTAATAAACCTTTGACTTTTCCTTGGCTAAAATTCATCATAGTGGGAAAAAAATGCAAGTAGACATAAACAAAGGGAAAGTGTGGGTTGGAGTGGAGCTCACCTGAGTCAGAACCAGTAGAACCGAACATAGCTGTGAGTCTGAACGCAACACTTCTGGTCACTGCGGTCCAGGGCAGTTGGCGTGGAGACGGTGTGATGTTCTCTCCGGCAGTGGACCACAGCAAGCGACTCACCTTGGCCGGGATTCCTGGCCGCCGTCCAGAGCTGCCGGCAGCAGAGCGGTCTGCCGGCTCGGCTCCTCCCACTTCCTCTCCGTCGTCCTCCCCGCTTCTCCTCGCCCGGCGGACGAACGGCGCCTGGGAACAGGAGCCGGCGGATATTTATAGGCCTCAAACATCAAAGAGATGTCACAACAGCGGTGATGAAGCGTCAGACATATCACCTTGACTCCGTGCTTCCTCGCTGTGGACGGGCGGGCTGTTCCTTCACACTCTGCGGCGCCGGCGGAAGCTGCGATGAGTCAGTGACGCGAAGCGGCAGCGCGCCGTCCCGGGGCCCGATGGGGTCTGGCGGCGGAGGAGAGAAATCGGTTCCTACGGACCGGGCTGCATCATGTCCAGTCACTGAATGGATGATGAAGTATTTGGACATGGGGAAGGAAGTCTGGAAGTACTGATAATTTTCCAGATTCTGTGATTTCTGTAATTTTTTATCCAAACCCTTGAAAATAATCTGATTCCATAGCTTCCCATACCTTTTTCATTTCTTTGTTGATTAGACGGGTGACATGTTTAACTAGGAAAGTACCAAAGAAGGCGTCCTATGTTAAGAAGTAACTCGGTCTGTTAAAATGTCTGTGATTGAAATAGCTTTTGATTTTACTACATGTCTCCTCCTGCCCCCCAGGGGGCGCACCCACACTTGTCCACAGGGCATTTCTCAGACACCCTGAAAGAGGAACGGCATCATTCATACATTTCTGGAATCACATTATAGACCAAGAGAGCAGACTTGCATTGACTCCCTGGAGTTGAGATAACCCGTTCTGGTCGACACGGTGCCTTCTCCAAGGTCAGAGTTCGTTGGCTTCTTCTCAGGTTCTGTCAGGAACCTCATCCTAGAACAGCCAAACAAACCCAGGTCATCACTCGTGCTTTATGGCGGGACGTGTTTTACTATGGACGGATGGGAATAATTGCCTCTTTCAGGTCTTGGCTGATGTCGTTCCACCAAAACACTCGGACCAGTTTGACATCAACGAGGTCCTCCGCTGTTTCCGCGTCGCCGTCATCGGAAGATCTGATTTGAGAACTTTCAGGTATAAACCGAGTAAATATTTGAGTTGTCGAATTATTGCCAGAAGTAACTTCGTCTATGCGGCAAAAACTTTTCTTTTCTTTTTTCTTTTTACCTTGTGAGATCTAATTTCCTAACTCGGTGTCAACTACTTGATGTGATTTTTAACAAGTCTGTGCTCACTTGCAAATCGAGACGTGTGAATCAACCAGCCTCAACCAGCAGAACACGGGAGAGGAAACTTTTTTTTTCTTTCTTGTCTGCAGGTGTGATTGCACCTTTTGCTTCATTACAGTTTTAATCCTGTTTTTTTGTTTTTTTTGGGGGGTGTGGGGGGTGGAAAGAAAATTAAAGAAAATATCCTGATGAAAATCCTCCTCAGAGCTCTTGTCGCGTTAGTCAATGAGCCCCCCTCTGACTACGGGCTGTTTACAAAAGCCTGAGCCGCCGCGGCGACCCGAGGGGAGCGGCGCCTTCAAAGCTCGCCGAGCGCACGTCACCCTTCAAGGGGGTCTTTGAAATCTGGCCCCTCATCCTCTCGCAGGAGCGCATCACGCCGTATTAGGGGGTAAATATTTGACGGCCGGCGAAAATCACAAGATGCAAGAAGGAAACCTCAGAGCACGCAGCTGTTACCCCCCCATCCTCCACCTCCCTGCATTACCCCCGCACCCCCACCACCTCACAGACAGAGGCGCTTTATGGCTCAATGGTGCATTTTGCAGATAAAGTAGCAAAACTACTAGAGGCGGTGTTGCGATGGCAACACTGGTAGGGAAACCAGGTTCTCCATTACTACTTAATTTAGGCTCTCTAATTGCATTCCTCACAATCTGTGGCCACAATGTTGCACAGAGGATGAAGAAGAAGTAGTTAATGCGGGTTGGGGGTGCTGGCTGGCGGGTGGTCTGGTCCTCGGTAAACCCCTGGCTGGGAGCGAGCGCTCTGAAACAAGCCACAAATGGCTTTGAAATTGTCTTTATTGCCGTTTGCCTTGATAGAATGTGTAGTTTAAGCACGAGGCATAACATTAAATTTAATTTTGCTCGAACCCTCAGGAACGCGTTGTCTTTAATTTGAGGACAAAATCTGTGTGGTGTAAATACACCGACTGCAGAGTCGGAAGCCGTCTGACGGAAGCCATCTTAGTCTAATTGGCTGGGCTGCAGAAGGAGAGCGGCGAGCATCGGCGGCGAGCATCGGCGGTGAGCATCGGCGGCGACCATCGGCGGCGACCATCGGCGGCTCGCCGGACGGCCGCAGGAGCCGCTCCCATCTGAATGGACTGGTAACTGACCCCCAGAACTGAAGGACCATCAGTTGTACCCCTATTGTCTGCCTGACCTATTTACTGCCTCAAACAACTGCGGGGATGTTGAGAGACGGACTGAGTTCTGGTCCCTGTGTGGGCCAGTTGACCAAATCCTCTTCACTATCAACTCACCTTCCACTGTCATTTCTAAGGTAACAAAGACATTACTGAGATGATAGTTGACATATCAGTGGGCGGTACAATGTCATCGACAATGTCTTTTTCAAAAGTTTCAGCCAACACTTGCCTTGCATGACTGATCAGCTGTTCATGCTTTTAGGAATGCATTTCTGTCTGTGTGTCTGCAGACAGCATGTGACGTTGCTAATACTGGTCAACATGACCAACTATTTCAACTCGCCTGACAGCAACATATTCCTGAAAACCTCTTTCCATTCAGCTGGTGAAAAATGTTTTCTACAACAAAAACGAGGACGGCTGCAGCTGACTGACGCCTCCCGGCTTAAAACTGATCCGATACAAAATTAAAAGTTCTTTCAAGCAGTTGAGGACGCAAATAACCCAAACTGTAGATTTCGAGTCAGCATCACCGTGGTTATTAATGCCAGATGAGTTACCACACCGAGCCAGTTACTGAGAGACGTTTAGGTGCTAAAGAGACTTTCAGCTTCATTCTGTCAGAACCACATTCTAGCAACGCCTTCCACATGTGGATTCCTTCATGCAGTTTTTTTTTTTTCTCAGTCAGACAAAATATTTGTGGGACTCTTGCACCAGATGTGCGGGGCTGAGTGGGAAGGCGTCCTGGTCGGCCCGGCGGGGTGACGATGGGGTATCGGTTTGATAGGGACTCAGTGGATGTGTGAAAGGGGTGTGTGGCAGTTTTGACCCCTGCGACTCCCTCCGACCTGTCCTTTGTCTCCTCTGGCTGCAGTCCCCTCGGCCCCCATACCCCCATGTCCCCTCAGCCCTGTCCAACAAAAGGACCTCTTGGAGTTGGGGGTTGGGGGTGACGGAGGGAAGCTCTTTCATGACTCCTTTGCCATTTTTCTCCCCTTCAAAACCCCGTTCGGTTTCAGACCCCGCTCCATCCTCTGGAGTCGGGGGGCCACCATTTATATCGTTGCCTGGGAATGAAGGCCCCGTGGCCCCTTTTGTTGTGAGGTGGGCTGGGGCAGCAGTGGCTGGGGCAGGGGCCGAGGGCTGCCCTTTGTTCCTGCCAGCGGAGTGGGCTTCAGTTCCCACAGACATGGGGCCCAGCGGGAGGGGGCCGAGGTCCCCGCCGCATGACAGGGATGAGGTAATGTTTACAAATCACTGTTGCCGTTTCTTGGCTTGCGGCCGACGTCTTTACGCCAACAAAAAGCTCCAGGTTAAAAGATGATTCTGGCTCTAAACCAACTCCGATCGCGTTTCTCACTCCGCATTTCGGAGAACGTCCAAAAAAAAAATCACACGGCTCGACGCCGGAGCGCTCCGTGAACCACACACTCCACTGCCACCGTTTAGCATCCGGGATAATCAGCAGCAGCTAATTCTGCCATAATTACCCTAAAGTTGTGCAGAGAGATTTTCTGCTTTCCTGACTGTTGATTCGCAGATTTCTTGAAACTTTCCTTTCCTCGTCAGTCAGTCATGCTGACCTGTTGCTGTTTAACCTCATTAGTGCAGAGATTTGTTCCAGCAACCGTTTCATTAACGATTCACTTTTTTTTTCTCTCTCCACACAATGCCGTTGCCGCTTTGCCAAATTTTGGAGCAAACTGGAACCAAAGTACATTTCCTTCTCTCCTTGCCAGACGACGGTTATCTCCACTGTCTTTTTATAACTGCAAAGACACGTTTACTTGTTCGCTCACTTATAGTTTAGTTCTTTCTTTAAGGTCTTTTGTTAAATGTCAGGAGTACTGGCATCGATGGTGACAGAAGGCAGGTTTATCCTGAGGAAAATCAGGGGTGAAATCAGTGGGAAATATGCTGCTCTCCTCGGATCAGGAGACCGTTGGTCAATAAATCCTTCAAACTGTCATTTAAACACCAAAAAGTAATGGCTCAAAAGCTAAAATTTTGCGCAAACTGACTTGAAAGCTTGTGAGTTGTAGGGTTTTACTTCATTTCCCTGGACGAATGAAGTATTTCTGAACCGATTAGAGGGAGAAACATGATTAATATGCTTCATAGTGAAGATTTCAGTTTCCAGAGACTCTTTCCTGCTGGAAGAGAGAAGCAGCGGTTGGGGACTGAAGTTCTCAGGTGTGTGTTGTTGGTGTGTTCCCTTCTCTTCCTTTTTTTTTTTTGCCTCATCATCATCCCTATCTTTACCAAAACCTCCTGCTCTCTCCCCCCAGTGAACACGGTACGTTTTCCTTGCCTCTCTTTCACCTCTGTAGTGATTTCTTCTGGCCGTCGAAAGGCGAGACGCTAAAAGATCGATGTGCACAAGCTGAACCGCGATGGGAGTCATCGAAACGACTCGACCTCTTCAACTGCTGCCTTCCATTTCTGTCCCGAAGCTCGCCTTCCTCCTCGGCTGGAGGACGGATGTCCTGAAACGTTGCGCCTTACATTTGTGATTCTGTCAAAGCGAAGCGCCTTTCGTCGCTGGTCCGGCTGCCTCTCTCTGCGGTTGCGCCCTGCCTTCGTCTGAAACCTCGGTGACTCGTCCCCCACTGGCGAGGATCGTCTTCAGCCCCTCATGTGCCGGATGCTTTGGTGGATAACAACGGCTGCTTTTGTTCAGTCTAATCCATAGATGCGATATGATGCTAATGAAGGGATGTGCAATCATTATCCGCGCCCTGACCTGTGATTTTGCACTCTGAGAGGATTTGTGCGTGAATCCAGCGACCGGGGGGTTAATCTCTCTTCGGTTTCAGGTCAACTTTATCATTATTATTTGTTTCTTTTAACACAACGCTGCGTTCTCTCTCCGGCTGCGCCGCTCTGTGTGCGGCTCCTTTCCTGTAGCATGTGAGGGCAAGCGGAGACGCTCTCCGTACGTTTGGGAGCGGCTTAATGTATTTCCAGGTCAGAATTTGAGATTCTCTCCCTCCCCTCAAAGGCAACACTTGCAAACAAAAGCCGATCGGCGAATGTGGGAAACGCAGCTCTGTCGAATTTCCTTTGATTCATAACCTTTTACCTTGAAACTGGCTAATTCTTGCGAAACTGTGCGTCAGAGCGTATATGTTAAAGATCAAGGCCAAAATGTCGCTTTCCCTTCTGCTCTTTTAACTTTCTAATCGGGTTTTTATGCATGCCAGTTGCAAATTTCTCGCTTAAATGTATGATTCCTGCACCGTCTCTGGTCCTTTGACTGGTGAACACAACAATGAGGGCAGAATCCTCGCATGTATTTAAAAATCTGCTTGATTCTCCGTTTTTATACACTTGGTTTTGATTTTTCATTAAAACACTCTTGAGGTTCGGCAGCTCGGCTCAAACTTTTTTTTTATGCCATAAGAGTTTCTTAGATGCAGTTAATTCTGATTTCACTTTGCCACCTACAACTTCAACAGAATGTGCTTTTTTTATTCCTCATAAATTGTCAGGCAATTTTTCAAGGGAAGGAGAAAATGGTATAAAATAATTTTGACGCAACAAAGAAAAAAGTGTAGACATATATATATATATATATCATTTCTTTTGCTTTTGAAAGAGGTGGGATGTAAAAAAATGCACATTCCCCGAGTTTAAATGGGAAAAGCAGCATGTCTGCATAGTTTTATGATATACATACACCTAACACGAGCCTCCAATTAGATGATGCATCCGAATCAGTAGCAGCTTGTTTACCTTGGAGCAGATGAAGAAAGGATTAGAGTTTAGTCCAGTAACAACCAGTCGGTCCCGGGGGAAGAGCCGTTAGCATGAAGGAAGGGCTAAAACTCCACTGCCGCCTGTAATAAGCCTGACTTTCTGAGATAATTAGAGTGGTTTATTATTTTTTAACAGGACCACGGAGGTCAGCCCACACGAGAATGAGAATGAGCTGCGAAAACCGTAAACCTCGCCTCACATTCGGCCTCTCGACGCCGTCCCGCTGGATAAACGTTCAGCGCAGACGCAGAGGAAAGAAACTCTGGTCGCCATGTTGAATTCGCCCCACGCTCTGCAATCTGGCAGAACCTCAACGGCAGCAGATGGAAGGTGACTGCGGGAATTCGGATTGAGCTGATGGACCAACCGGTGGTGGCAGCATTATGCTTTGGGACGGTTTGCCAGCGCTGGTTCATTAAACACGGGGGACCAATATTTAGTTTTATACCTTTTTGTCTCTTTCTATTGGCACTTTGAAATGACTTGTTGTGCTACATAAAGAAACTGACGTTACCTTGCCTCGAGTCAGACGTCCGAAAGCTGAGGTTTGACCCAAAACCGATCGTTACCAGGACGGCGAGCGCAGACATTGTCCCAAACGGCTGAAGAAGAGAAGGTTTGCAGCGGCCTAGTCAAAGTCCAGACTCTCGGCCGACTGAAATCAGAGAGAAGAGTAGATAAGACGGTGTATTTATAGCACATCGACAGCCTGAAATAAACACAAGTTAAGGTAAGTGGCCCAGAGATATTTCTCCTCTTCCCTGACATTAAAAAGCCCCGGCAGAGAAAACAGGCCAGGAGCCGCTCTGCGTTTGCTTGTCAAAACACAGGCGTGAAATCCTCCCGTGGCTCCGTCCCGCCGCTAATAAGCCCGACACACTCCCAGTTACACACGGACAATTGTGGCAATTTCCTCTTTCCCCCCCTTAATCATCTTTCTCTTTCTCAGTGATAAGGATGTAACCAACTGCGGAGGTGAAGTTACATTCTAATAAAGTCAGACGGTTAATAATGTAATCTTAAATTACGCAGTAATTACCGCCTCTCAGTCACCGGGGGAACACTGCGTAATTCAATCACCGGCCCCTGTGATACTGTACAACGGTGAAACGAAAAAGAAAAAGAGCTGCGTTATCTGGGTTGTTTTACACTGGAAATGAATAGCCCTACCCACTGCTGCAGTAATTAGCCAGCTCCACTCGGGCTGCGTTATCAGCCAGGGAGGCCTTATCCATCTCAGGCTGTAGAAGCTCCAGGGGGCCGTCGGGGGGGCTCAGCCCCTCCCCGCGTTCACACACCTGTGGATGTTGTTTCTGCACCAATAAAACACGCGTGGGAATTTCAGCGCTTTCCCCAGGAAACGCGGAGGGAGGATGGCTTTCCGCGACACGGCAGTGAAACACAATTGATCATTTATTTATAAAACGGGGTGATTCCTTTAGAGCCACGGCTGCTGGAGACAAATCTAATGCCCCTGGAATGGTTTTCCCCTGGAAAAGAGGAGGAATTAGATTTGCGAACCTGGAAGTTCATTTGTCCGAGACGGCTCTGACTCTGGTGAAGGTAGCTTTTGAAGGGATGTGAATCCATACTGCGGTGCTGACTCAGCCTCACACCCACCGCCTTGTTCACCTCCCTCAGCCCCCCCATTAGCTCAGACACATCCCCGCCTCTCCGCCGCACCGTTTCTGCTCGTTTTCACCTTTAAACCAGCAGACGAGCCTCAAAGCGAAGCCGAGGAGTTTAAGAGCGCAGCCTGGACACCTTGACCCTCACCCCCTCCATGCACGCTCCCTCCTGCAGGGTGGGCTCCTCTGAAGGAGAGATGGGTAAAACGGATGACAGGCTTCAGCAGATGGGCCAGGTGCAAGGCCAAGTCGACAAAGGGAAGAAGCAGCTGCAGGAGCCGTCAGGGCCCTTCCAATTTACTGCAAAAGATGAGCTCTGGATAGGGTTTGTGGTCCCACCACCACAAACGGTCTCCTTTAAAACATGAAAACAAATAGATTTTCATGTCACGCTGTCAGGGAGCTGACAGGAGCGTTCGCGCCTCGGCCCAATCCTCAAACACATCTGTGCTTGGGCGGTCACGCCGGCAGCCGGTCCGGTTCACGGGGGGAACAGGTAGCGGATAAATCAGACACGCGTGCTCTCGTTCTCCACGCCGACGGCGCGCAGACGCAAGCGGCTGATGGATGTCGTCACGGAGCAGACGACCGACAAGAGTCTGAGGTGGAGGTGTGGACCATTTGGAGATTAGATTTCCGTGCCTTTGCTGGATTCCGCGCCGACAGCTTGAACCGCAAACTTACTTTTATAATTATTAACAATTAACAGAAGAAGAAACTTAACAGGCTTTCCGCCAGACACCAACTCCAAATCCAACATGGCTGCTTGCTCACCGATACAAAGCAAACTTTTTTCACAAAACATCAGGAGTACATCCTGTCATTTTGTTTCTTTTTTTGTTTTAAGGATTCAGATTTTCTTAGGTCCATACTGACCCAGCTACACACTGCGATCCAAAAAGCCAGGAACCGTCTTGGCTCTTACACTCACGTCCTTTCAGATTTGTGTTGAACTGGACAGATCTTGTGACCTCACTGGTCCAGTTACCCTGCGGAAACATTTTTGCTTTGCTTTTTTTTTTTTTTTTTTTGTTGGACTGGCCTCTTCAACAAAATGCCGCGTTAGTCCATGTTTGGCTTGGAGGACGGAATAAGGTCTCTCGTTTCAGATGACAGACCACAGTCCATTCTCAGGCCAAGACTCACAATCTCATGTGCTTCTCTGTGGCTCCTGGCCCCGAACGCAAACAACACCTCGCCGAAACCCCCTTTAGAAGTCAGTGACAGCCATTTTACTTCAAAATTAAAGAATAAAATAGCTTTTGTTTACATAATTTACACATATTTCTAAATATCTTCTAAAAGATTAAAGCAGAGATTTACCTCTCTTTACACATTTATGGGCAGAACAACCAAAATGTTCTTCCTGTTTCGTGTTGATGTTGGTGCCCACAAAAGGAGGAGGCCTGTTAGTAATTGACACCTCAGCTGATGTGATAAAAAACCTCCATATCGGCGTCAGTGTGTCAAACTGCGGCTCTGGACCCACATCAGATCTTTATAGTGTGCGTCTACATGTCAGGCTAATAGTTTGAACAGGGCTGGCTGCCTGTCTTGATGGAAATCGCGTGTTTTATGGCCTGTGTTGCCATTTGCTCCCCCGGCGCTGAAGCCGCGACAGCCGAAGCCACGTCTGCCCGCGACGTCAATCCCAAACGCACACGCGCCCGCTGTAAAGCATCTGAATCGATTTCTTTTAAAAACCTGTTCCCCGCCGCCTTATTGGGCGCTTTTAGAGATATATGATGTACCTTCAGCGTCAGAGAAGGATAAATGGCTGGCCGGTGGAAAGCCCATTTGTCCGGCTTGATGATGCGGTGGGCCTGTCAGCGCCATTAGTGGGAGAGAAAAAAACAAAAAACGGGGGGAGGGGGCAAAGCTAGGGGGAACCTCACCCCATTTGGCCCCAACATGCTGCATGGCTGTAGCTGAGCTCAGGGGGCATAAATCAAGATGATTCTCAGCACGCTTTGACCTCTGACCTTGACACAATTCACACCAAGATGAGACACCGAGCCGCAGAAAGCAGAAAGCGAGGGGTGACATAACACGGGAAGGTGTAGCTCGGTGGCTACACGTGTGCTAATGTGTGCATCGGTTGCGATTAGTCACCGCTGTCGGGATTGAGGCGGTCGTCTCATCTAAACGCTCCGTCTTTACGAGCCATTAATCCTCCACTTGGACCATTTTCATTACCGCCAAACCACGCTTTGGAGCCACCAGCTGCATGATGCTGCATAGTGGAAATTAATAACCCAACCACCCCGTCTCTGCCTTACCGTTGCCCCACCGAATCCCCCCCAGAAAAACCTCCCACCACTCTGGGCTTTGCATGACGGGAGGCAGGAGAGAAGCTTTCCGTTTTCAGACACCCTTTCTTCTTGTCTCCAGCTGCCGCTGGAGACAAAGTAAGACAAACAACTCATCCCGAACGTTTAGAATTCCCCTCGTGCCTCGGCGCTGGGATGTAGCCTCAAGCGAGTGGCAATGAAGAGAAAGAAAGGACGGTGACAGAGACGGAGAGAAAGCAAAGTGAGGTTGGGTTCTAGTGGGTTTATTAATTCTTCACAGAGTGGAAAATCACCCACAGGGTGCCGTCAATAGCCTCTAGGTTCCCTCTTACAGCACGGAAAGGAATTCCAGTTTGCGCGGAACATCGTCTTAAAATTTCAATCTTAGAAAGGACAGAAGAAACTAAAAATAACAAAAGGTAGTCAATCACTAAAATAGAACATTTGCATACATCTTCGTTTCTATGCACACAAACATCCGTCCAGAAACAAAATCATTAATTTTTGATTTAATGATTTTAAATAAAAAAATCATTAAATTTTTTTTAATTTAATGATTTTAAAAAATTTAATGATTTTTAAAAAAATTTAAATTTAAAAAATTTAATTTTTTTTTATTTTTTTAAATTTAAAATTTAAAAAATGTTATATTTAAAATTTACGCGCCTGCTTTACAGCGGTCGCGTGTGCGTTTGGGATCGACAGAGGAATCAGGCTCTGACTGTAAACCTCACCGTGTCTGGAAACCGGTTTCACATCGCTTATGTGAATTGAACACCACCATGAAAAATGTTTCTTTTTCCCCCCCTCAAAATTAATGATGCGGATGAATAAAAGTCTTTGTATGGTTTAGTTTTGAACAATTTTATGCTTAGCGTGATTATAAACACCTCACCGTGTCTGGAAACCGGTTTCCAGACACGGTGAGGTTTACAGTCAGAGCCTGATTCCTCTGTCGTTCGTCTTGAAGAAGCTCAAAACAAAGAATGACTAGATGGAGAACTTTGGGTTTTTAAGAGATGAAACCTCTCCTTCCATCACCTACTTGAGTAATTTTTTCATTTTCTTACACGTTTCCTTTGGTGTCGAGTTCAAAGAGGTGCTTGACAGCTAACCCTAACCACCTTATCAATTATGGTGTTTGGCTTTACCAATACGGTTTCAAACAAACGATTAAATATAAAAAGTCGGACAAAGGCAAAGCGGTCACAGCTTCGTGTCTTCTTATGAAACATCCATCATTTCTCCTACAGAAATGACCAACGCGTCAAAGCGAGAGAAAGCACCGAAAAGTTGGACGTCGTATTTTTGTTTGCGGCTTGCCATCAGTGAAGAACCTCTCTCATTTCCTGTCCAGCACGTTGTCGACAACATACAGAGGAGCCTCTGTGATATGAATTGTTGCAGGTGATCCATCACCTTCAAGCAAACAACACGACCAGAGAGAAGCACCAGGAACTTTGTTGAAGACAAGTTTGGAGGTTTTGTATCCTTCCTTAATATCCATAGCTGTTTAAACTTTCCTGGAAATAAACATACAGTCAATGAAATATAAAAATTCAACCCTGATCTTTGGATTTGTCAGGATCTCTTCAAAAGCAAATCGATACATTTTAATATTCGGGGGCAACTCGCTCAGCGGCCTCTTGCATCTTTTGGCCGCTGCGCATAATGAAATGATCAGCAATGAGTCGGGGCCGGGCCCGGTGGCCCCGCTCAGAGTAGGAGAGATGGTA